GCAGGGGAAGTTATGGGGCTTCCCAGGTCATCACCACGCGAAACCCCCATAGGAAGAATTCGAATAGGAACATGGAATGTAAGAACCATGCTTCGACCAGGTAAGTTGGAAAATGTCAAGAGAGAAATGAAGAGGCAGAATTTGGATATTCTTGGGCTTAGTGAAGTTAGATGGGAGGACAGCGGTGATTTTTTTAGCGATGAATTCAGGGTTATTTATTCTTGTGGAACTAAAGGAAAGAATGGTGTAGCATTTATTTTAGGTGAGAAGGTAAAAAACCCAGTTGAAAGAATTGAATGCAGAGGTGACAGAATTTTAATGATTAAAATAAAAAGCGATCCCATGGATATGATGATATTTCAAGTATACATGCCTACTGGAGACTATGACGATGAAGAAGTAGAAGAAATTTATGACCAAATTGAAGATATAATAGAAAATGATAAAACTAAGAAATGCCTAATTGTTATGGGAGACTGGAATGCATCTGTAGGAGGAGGAGGAGATGGAAAAATTGTGGGCAAGTTTGGGCTAGGAAATAGGAATGAAAGAGGCGAACGACTAGTTGAATTTGCTACCAAGCATCAATTAATAGTTGGAAACACATGGTTCAAACAATCCAAACGTCGACTATACACTTGGAAAATGCCCGGAGACATTGGAAGGTATCAAATAGATTATATTCTTATTCAAAGTCGTTTTAGGAATGCAGTCAAGAAAATTCAGACATATCCAGGAGCAGATGCAGATTCTGATCACAACTTATTAACTGCAGATATTGTGATGAAATTGAAAAAAGTTTTGAGAGCCAAAAGAATAAAAAGATGGAATTTGGAAAAGCTAAATGGAAATACTGGATTAAATTTTAAAGAAAACCTGGAATATAAATTAAAAGAACTTCCATATGACTTTGACTGTGAGTTTGACCCAAACGAAAATTGGAAAAGAATTAAAGATACAATAAAGGAATCGGCTGAAAATTTTCTTGGATATGTAAATGGTGTTAGAATAAAAAAACCTTGGGTTACTCAAGAAATGATTGAGAAAATGGATGAAAGAAGAAATTGGAAAAATATAAATAATGAAAAAGGGAGAATGATGTACAAGAAGCTAAATAATGAATTGAGGCGTGAAACTGGAAAAGCTAGAGAAGCTTGGTTAAGTAAGGAATGTGAGGAAATCGAAGAACTGAACAAAAAAGGCAGATATGATCTATCATACAAAAAAGTCAAAGAACTAACAAATGATCGCACCCACCAAATTCTGAGTATTGAAGACAAAGATGGAAAAGCACTTTTAACCCCAACTGATATAATGGGCCATTGGAAAGAATATATTGGAGATCTCTATGGAGAGAACACCAAACCTAAAGAGTTAAAATTGGAAAAATCTTCTCAAATAGCTAATGATGAAAGAGGACCTATTATCATGAAAGATGAAGTTGGATTGGCAATTAAAGAATTGAAAAACAAAAAGTCAGAAGGAGTAGATGGAATACCAGCTGAATTTCTAAAAGGGTTAGGCAAGGAAGGAATCGAGAAAATAACAGACTTATGCAATCTCATATATAAAACAGGAGAATGGCCTGAAGACTTTGCTCAAAGTATTTTGATACCTATACCAAAGAAAGCAAAAGCTAAAAAGTGTAGTGATTTTAGAACAATTAGTTTAATTTCACATGCCTCAAAAATCCTTCTTAAAATCATTAACAGAAGACTCTACAACAAGGCTGAAACATTTCTATGTGAAGAACAATTTGGATTCAGAAAAGGAACAAGGGATGCTATTGGCCTCTTGAGAACAATCTGTGAAAGAAACATTGAGGTTAATAAGGATACGTACATTTGCTTTATTGACATGGAAAAGGCTTTTGATATGGTTAACTGGACAAAGCTAATGGAAATCTTAAGAAAAATAGGAACAGATTGGAGAGATAGAAGACTCATTGCTTCACTTTATATGAATCAATCTGCCATTATCCGAACAAAAACTGGAGAAAGCAAACCATGCAGTATTGGAAAAGGAGTCAGGCAAGGGTGTACACTTTCTTCTACTCTTTTTAACATTTATCTTGAGGAATTAATGAATGAAGCCATAAGTGAGGACAGTTTCAGAATTAAAATTGGAGACCAATTAATACAAAGTATTAGGTTTGCAGATGATATTACTTTACTTGCACCAAATGAACAAACTCTACAATGTTTGGTAACAAAACTCAACAAAACTTGCAAAAAATTTGGAATGAAAATTAACATAGCTAAAACAAAAGTGATGAAAGTTGGAAGACTAATTAGCAAAGATTTGAAAATCCTAATTGATGGAAACAAAATAGAGCAAGTTCAACATTTTAGGTATCTTGGCAGCATTATTCAGGGAGATGGCAGATATGAAAAAGAAATCAAAGAACGAATCAGGGCTGGAAAAATGGCTTTTTATAAGAAGAAGAACCTTCTTATTGGAAAAATGAACCAAACACTTAAAAAGAAGTTAATAAAATGCTTTTCTTGGAGCATAACTTTATATGGAGCAGAGACTTGGACTTTAAGGAAAAAGGAAACAAACTACCTTGAAGCATATGAAATGTGGTTATGACGAAGAATGGAGAAAATCAAGTGGACAGAAAAGGTTAAGAATGAAGATGTTTTAAATTTGGTTTAGGAACAGCGATCTCTTTTAAAAACAATACAAAGAAGAAAAAATAACTGGCTAGGTCATATATTGCGAGGAGAAGGATTAATGCGAGTGGCATTAGAAGGAAAAATTGATGCAAGGAAACAAAGAGGAAGAAAAAGAAAAGTATTGATAGATGATGTTTTACTAGGCAAAACCTATAAAGAAATAAAAGAGGAAGCCCAAAATAGAGAATGTTGGAGAAGGAGAATTCTATAATTTGACTGCTTTCCACGGACCTGTCCTAGGACAGAACACCCATGAATGAATGAATGAATGAATTGTTTAATAAATAAAATAAATGAAACAATATGATTAAAAAATTTGTTTCATTCCATATCATTTTGCTATTTTTAATACTTAACTCTTTTGGCACCAAGAAGTTGAGTGAGGGATTTGAAAAGGCTAGATTCAAATTGCTGCCCTTGGTCAGATGTTATTTTGGCAGACACTCCAAAGCGAGATATCCAACCTGAATATAGGACTGAAGCCACTGTTTCAGCCACTATATCTGGCAAAAGAATTGCTTCAGGTTAACTAGAAAATCTATTGATGATTGTGAGGCAATATGTTGAGCCGTTGGAAGGTGGCATGGACCAACAATAAGAATATGAATATTTAAAAATCTAGCATCTGGAATAGAAAAGGTTCCCAATGGGCTAGTGCAGGGGTCGGCAACCTGTGGCTTGCAAGCCACATGCGGCTCTTTAGTTCCATACGCAAATATTATTTATTTTATCAAAAAAAAAAAAACATTTAAAAATCGTTCTGAATCGATTAACGAGGATCTGGCACCGATTCTATCTCTCAGCCACTTGTACTCGCTTTTCATCACACCCCTCCCCCGTGACACGCATCGTCACTGTCGTCAGTCTGTCGGAAGCTCTCGAATGCCGCCGTCATCGGATGTTTCTATGAGGTTTAATTCGCTTTCGACGCAAGACAATTCTGAATAAATAGATTAGTTTTTTTTTTTCAAAAACTTTATTTATGCGAGTACTATTTATTGTTGGCAAGAAAAAATTTTGTGGCTCTTTAAAAACTTTGAAATTTTGTAAATTGTAATTTTTTGCTCTTCTGACTCAAAAGGTTGCTGACCCCTGGGCTAGTGACATGTCTCTGGATTTTTGACCACTGACAGGAAATGCAGGTGAGAGACCATGTCTGGCAGTCTTTACTGATGGATGGGCAAACAAATTTTGCTTTTATTAATCTGGTTGAGTTCCTTACACCTAGATGGGACAGATTATGGACAATGTCGAAGGCAGTGTGACGATAATTAGGCGGAATGTATGGACGAATGCAACCTGATTGGCATACTATATGTCACAGTAAATTTTGACATTGTTGTCAGGAAGTTTAAACTTCCTAAGTACAAGTGATGAGTCACTTGAAGTCAGGAGAGACTGGAGCTCAGGATCTTGCTGTTGGTCCATTACAATCTTGCTATAATCTATATAGCAAGATTGAACTTTGTCCACCACTTTGTCAATAATGTCCATTACTACCAGGAAAACTAAAATATTGAAAAAGTCAAATATTTTATATCAAATATTAAGTACAAAGTTTAATGCTTGATACTTAAAATGGCATATGAATGGAGCATTTTAAGTGCCATCTGTTTATTTTTGAAAGATTTTATAATGATTAATTTGCTGATTTGCTTGTGTTATTTGAAAATTACATTGCTTTTTATTCTTTTTTACTACAATTAATTTACTTATTTATATTAAAATTGTTCATTGTAAATCAGTATTCATGTATATATATATATATATACACATGAATACTGATTGTACATGAATTATTTTATATATTGATTATACATGAATTATTTCATATATATATATAAAATAATTGTAAATAATGTATAACCTAATACTGTTTAGAAAGAATTGTTATTAATTATGTAGTGTACATTACAAAGCAGTGCAAAGTGTCAAGGTTAGACCTCAAAATATAGTCAAAGGTAGATTTCACCATATCTCAGAATATAAAATATAGTATTTAAAAACAGGCCTTATATACCCAGTAAGTCTAACAACAATTTTTTATGGATGGCTGTTTTTTTAAACTTTTTTAATGGTAATTTACTTTATTTCTGTCTCATAGATTAGCACTTAAAACTCCAATTTATAAAGATATAGTTACATTACATTATAGAAATATGTACTAAAATTTTTATCTACTGTATATTTCTGCAGATAAAACAAAGTATAAATTTTCTTCAAATTTTTATAGTTTTAGCATATATATGTCCTATAAGATGACCCCAAGCTATCAACAGCCTATGAATTTAGTTTAGATCATCTGGATAATAATACTGTATAGCGTATACAGAATTATATCCTATTCATAATTTTTTGAATGAAAAAATTTTATTTTCTTGCATCTGGCAGCACTGCCTTGCTATTGTTGCAAACATTTGCACTGATTTGGGCATTTGGGTAATGACCTTGACTATTCACAAAAAGCATCGTATGGGCTATTCTATTTTGTGCACATATCCTATTCTCTACTAGTAAATAATTATGGTTTGTCCGGTTTTTACAATGGTTTTAATTTATATAAATTTTAATCTAATTTTTTTTGTATCTGTCCTATAAGATGACCCTGGATTTTGGGGGCCTTCTTTTGATTCATCTTATCTGCAGAAATTTACAGTATTTAACTTTGTTCATCTATCAGAATTATCTTTCAAAACTTACAGTAATTTCATAAACATTAGGAAGCACAGTATTTTGCTGATATCATTAAGCGTATGCCAATTAATTTATAGTTTGTCATCTGTTTGAATGGTCTTGATATACTGTATTTCAAAAAACTGGTTATTTAATTTTAATTATATCCGACTCACCAAATAAACCATATCCAGTTCATAAGCCAGCAGAAAAATTCTTTCTACGAATGTTTTCGTCTATATGTAATAGACATCCTCAGGTATTGACGATATTGAACTAACGGCTAGTCGAATAGAACGTTTTTGAAAGTTGCATTTAACGACGTAATTCGAATATGATGTGTTAAAATTAAAATATGTAAAATATTTAAAACATATCCGAATAAATAATCAATTGATTTCACGTAGATCATGACGTAAATATCCTTCGTAATTTAAAATATCTTCAATGCACGTTTTAATCATTGGGATTTTGGTCTTGATTTTGGAAGAAATAGTAGTTTGTCATCAGTCATTTAAAATTTATTTTGCATTCAATTGTTCAACAACATTTGTAATCTCAGCTTCTTGAATGATAATTATCTTGCAAATTATTGTCTATATTTGATCACTCAAAGTTTCTGTAAACAATTTTTCAAATAAATAAGACCTACTTGAACCTTTAACCGATGTGTATAGAAATTAATCTTTCCAATACGAACGTTTTCTTAACCCCTTCTGGGCTCTTCTTCAGGTATAGCTGGATTGAACATCAAACGAAAAATTTGAATACATCCGAACGCTGCTGAGATAAAGCCAGAATATTAGTGATTATGAAGCGGGAAACTTATGAGAGGGGCCTTTCTGAGTACCTAGAAGCAACAAGATGCAATGAAGTTGAAAATAATATGATTGATAAGTTACAGTCAAGAGTTAAAAGGTTCGCTTCTACGAAGTTGGCTACCAGGTTAAATATGAAGAACATTATAATGGATGCGCCTAATGCCCCTAAATTATTTGCCTTTGCCAAAACACATAAAGAAGGGCAACAGTTATGCCCTGTGGTGGATAAGGTCAAAGCTCCCACACGAAAACTTGAAGAAGAGGTACATAACATCCTTACTCCACATGTTGAAGGCTACCAATTTTCCATCACCAACACAGTGGATTTAATAGAGCAATTCAGGGTAATCACATCCCCGTCTTGTATCACAGTATTGGATTTTAGATCCTTATACCCTTCGATTGAAATTCCTCCATGCTTCTGCGCTCTAAGGGACTTTCTCTTTAAAAAAGTGGACACCAATGAACTTCACCATCAAGTACTAGAATTGGCCGATTTAATTTGTTACAACTCCGTTTTTCAATTTAGAGGGGTGATGTACTCGCAAACAAGAGGTGTCCCCATGGGCAGTTCGGTCTCCGGGGATTTATGTGAACTAGTTATTAGGCAATTNTGGACACCAATGAACTTCACCATCAAGTACTAGAATTGGCCGATTTAATTTGTTACAACTCCGTTTTTCAATTTAGAGGGGTGATGTACTCGCAAACAAGAGGTGTCCCCATGGGCAGTTCTGTCTCCGGGGATTTATGTGAACTAGTTATTAGGCAATTGGAGAACAGGACACTGCCTAATTTCCTCCAAGACATTATCCTTTATAAAAGGTATGTCGATGACATCATTATCTTATGGAGGACAACTCCCAACCTAACCCGCTTTCTAGAAGAAATGAATGAGAACCCATATGGATTGTCACTAGAGATTGAACAACATAGTAACAGCAGAATCCATTTCCGGAATTTGGATATAAGTTTTGAGGATTCCATCATACGCACATCTGTTTACCGCAAACTGTCTAATCTATCGGCGTACATACCGTTTAACTCGTGATCCCGTTCAATACAAGATGGCGGCCTTCAGGGCATTGGTTAAACGGGCTTACACGCACTCTTCTACCCAACAGGCGCTAACGGAGGAGTTAAAATACTTGGAAGGCATTGCTAGAGCCCATGGTTACCGCAATATTATACATAAAATCTCGGAGGGCTATAAACAACCACAGGCTTCTTCCAACACTACAATGACCACGCCAAATACTAGCAAGACGATGGAAAATGAAAGGATACCTATCAGGTTCAACCCTTTAAGACTGGTATACATGGTAAGGAAATCCTCAAAGGATGTGCTTAACAGACGAAAAAAACTCGGATATAACTGGCTGGATCAAACATAGTAATTTACAAAACTTATTAAAATATCTCCCAACGTATAAAGAATTATTTTTATTTAAAAATGGATAGATAGAAAAAAAAATCACGGTTAATCCTCAAAGGACTTCCTTACCGTGTATAACAGCCTTTATTGAGGTCTTTATACAACACCATCGCAAAAGAACGAAAAGTTGCCCTGACATACAGAAGATGCAGCACCTTGTTCGATATCCTGCACAACGAAAAGGACCAATCCAGGGTGGAGAAACTATCAGGCGTCTACACAATCCCGCTAAGAGATAACCGGTTTAACAGGGATCCAGTATATGTAGGATCGACTAAACGTTCGTTAGGGGTTAGGATAAAAGAGCATATCGCGGATATATAACGCAACAGACACACCACCTCACTCTCCACCTACGCCACGGATCCCAAAATTGTGGCGGACTTCAATAGAGCGCGTGTAATTGTCACCACACCCCATATTCATCATCTAAAGTGGTTGGAAGAGATGGAAATTTTTAAAGCATACGACACATACACGTGTATTAATTCAAGAGACGAAATCGGCCTTTCCATGGCATGGCAAAACGCACTACATACGGAGTAACAACGGTATACTATTTATTAAGTGTTAAAAAATAAAATAAAATAAAAGGTACTGGGGAACATGTGAGAACATTATTGGATAATTGTGTATCTCAATGGCACGTTTTTTAAATATCCTAATAATATCTTTCTCTTAAATATGGACATTTATCGTTATCTTCGAACACTTTCAAACATATCATGTGACGAAATAAATGAACGAACTGTGCGATTCAAACTCAGCAGCATTTGGATGTATTCAAATTTTTCGTTTGATGTTCGATCCAGCTATACCTGAAGAAGAGCCCAGAAGGGGTTAAGAAAACGTTCGTATTGGAAAGATTAATTTCTATACACATCGGTTAAAGGTTTAAGTAGGTCTTATTTATTTTTACACAACCTGGTGTCCAGTTGCTGTTTTATAACAATTTTTCAGTTTGTATATAATATTCCATATTGAAAATACAGTAGAGCATCAATTATTCAAAACAATTTGGGACTGGGATGGTTCAGATAACTGATTTTTCAAATAACTGATCATTTACAAAAAGATATATTAAACACAAAACTGTACTGTATATAATTTGTATCACACATCTTACAAATACATACCTTACATAATGTAATACATGAAACTAGGCCTAAAGTTCAGTTTGGCAGGGAGGGGAAGAGTGCTGCAACGCCCTAGCAGTTGATCAGTATTTTGATAATCAATTTTTTTATTCCTCCAATATCCAGCCTAGTTTTACAGTTAAGATGTAATATTTCAATTGATATAATCTCATTTTACAATCAAATAACAATTTGCTTCTGAGTAGTAGTAGTGTTATATAACTAATACATACTTTTTCCATACCAACAAACATCTATATATATATATGTCCTTTATTTATTTATTGAACACTTCTCATATGCTTTTTTATTTGTTTTATATTTTATTTAAATAAATCATATCTTATAATTTTTACTTTAATCTCTGTATTGTTAATCAAAAAAATATTTAATGGAGCAGAAAATTTAATTTTTTTAATGAATTCTTTAAAACTTTTTGTGTGTTTTACATATTCATTTCAACTTATTTATGTACCAAGTTTAAAATCACTTTTTCAAATAAAGTTTTATTTGTTAATATATTATTGATAATTAGAAAGAATATTTACTCATGCCATCAAGGAAAAAACATGAAATAGAGATAACACAGATTTTTTCATGATTAGTGATATAATCAGTCATTCATAAAAAGAATAATGCAAAATTCTGCCACAATTAAAAACAGCAGCTAAAAGACTAAAATCAAACATAATACTTTTCATGAGATTAAGATAAGCTATTATTTCAATAAATTGGAAAATTTTTAAATGTGTGTCATAAGATGACAAATACTATATGATATAGAGTACTGTTATTTGTTTTAGTGTAGATTTTTATTAAAAAAATAAAAACCTTTTTTGCTTTTTTATGATTAAATAACAAGTTTATAATATATAAAATAAATTGTTTAAAATTCATTATAATTTATCTTTACAATGAAAGTATAGATATCAATGATACAATATTAAAGAACAAAAATTTATTAAAGATACTTTTATTTTTGATTACATTAAAAGTGTCCTCAGTTAAAGCAAAATTCAAATAATTGAATGCTGTTTTTATTTTGAATATATAAATTAAATTATAAGAGCATTTCAAAAATTAAAATTAATTAAAAGTGCATCACTATGTAATATTTATTTATTTATTTTTTTAAATTATATATGTAAAGTCTGAAGACCAGAGATTATACTGACCCAATAAATGTCCTCTGTAAAACTGTATATAAAATAATAAAAAGTAGTACATATAAACATGATACATAGTATATTTTGCATACGACATTACATGACTGAAAAATAAAATGCAAAGCATAGAAAATGTGATACAATAGACTGTGAAAATGCAGTACAATGTACAAAATTTCTACAATAAAGCATATTTTTACACATATTCATAAATGTTTAAAATAAGTAAAAGTAAGTCTTTCAAATCTTTCTAGCTCTGTAATAAAAGGAATGTTTAACTATTTTCAACCAACATTGTGGGAGGAACAGACATGAGGTGTTTCTTGTATTACATGCAGGGATACACATGGAAATACAGTAGAGCGTCGTTTATCCGAATCAATTGGGGACTGGGGTGGTTCGGATAACTTATTTTTCAGATAACCAATCATGTATGGAAAAATATATTAATTTATCCCATGTTGAAATTTCTCTCTGTTGCGTGTCGCTTCGCATTGAATTTTCATCGATGTTAAGCCNAAAACTAAATAGCTTTAATTATATCATATAAAATAGTAAATATGTAAAATATCAAGATTTTAATTAAAATGTGCAGATATGATAGTATTTATAGTATCAGATATGAATAATATATGAATAATTAAAATAGTTTGGTTGATGGCTAATTAGAATATTATAGTTATCTGGCTGTAAAAGTATTAAGGTGTAACAGAATGAATCATTGCAGTAAACAAGGTAAACAAAGATGCCTTTAGTAGTGCATGAAAGTTTGTAAATCATTTATACTTTCATTTTAATTAATGGATCATCTTCAGGTATACTAAAATAGAATAGGAGTAATACAAGATATATTTTAAAATAAAGGGCCAAGTGGTCATAAAAATTGACTAATAACATGTGGTCAGTTTGTACTTGCATAGTAGCATCAACTGGTACTCTGGGCTTCTAGTGGCCATATTTTCATCAGTCTGCTGTTGGTTGTTTTTGTGTTACAGTGTGTAATAATGGCTGCAAAAATCAACAACACTGCTTGTTGTGAAGTACAGTCTGTAATTTGATTTCTGCAAGCAAAAGATCATTGTGATTCCAAAATTCACTGTGAAATGTGTGAAATTTAAGGGCCTTCAGTAATGACAAAGAAAAAGTAAGAAAATGGTGTCATGAGTTTAAGGAAGGTTGTACAAATGTTCACGATGAAGAGAAAAATGGTATGCCTGATGTTCAGACTGACCTTGTTGAGTGTGTGAATGCCAAAATGCAAGAAAATTAGCACTTCACAATTAGTGCTCATTTCATGGACTTTCCAGATATTTCATGGACAATATTTTTTGAATTATTACTGAAACTTCAGACTATTACAACTGTGCAAGATGGATACAAGAATATTGACAGACACTTACACAAACCATAGGATGTCATCTGCTGGTTTATTTCAAATGGTTCAAATTCCTCAATGGTTCAAAACAAAGAGCCATTGAGGAATCATTAAAAGAACCTGATGAAGAACTCAAAAACGTTAAGAGTTCAAAAACGTTCGTTTTTTGTTTGTTTTCGTTATCTACACACTGTAATTGGTTCAGAGTATGTGATTAATTATTTTTGGATGACTACCAGAGAGAAGGGAGTGAATTTTTTTCCACATTGGTATAAGAAATCCACATTTCATCACCAGTCACAATGTTGAGTCCAAACAACAATCCAAGCAATATCGTCATTCAAATTTACCAAAGAAAAAAAGTTCAAAAAAAGGTTGCCATAATCTTAGCAGATCAAGCCAGAAGATTATGGCAACTGTGTTCTGCTTTTAGTAGTTTCATGAAACTAGAAACAATAATCACAGCAAAGTTTATTATGAAACACTTTTTAAAACTGAGACATGCCATTCAGAACCAGTATGGACTGCTGACATCAGGAATTGTTCTCCATTATAGGATGAACACTTTTCCACTGCTATCTTCAGTATTCAGATGCTTCAATGGGAATTTCTGTAGGTGTGTAGGAATGCTATTGGTAATTCAATGATCCAAAACTTATGATTTAATTATGTTTATTTTGGTTGATTACATACATAACTAGATGCATTTTGGGCGACTTATATTTTACATCCCCTCATCAGTAACTACAATTATTAAGAGCTAGGCATTATTAGGTTGTTTGGAAAATACTGGCCGATTTCAGAAACAAACATTTATTCTTGAAAAATTTAACACTATAACTACACTTTACCAACCTTTAATATGCAGTCTATTTTATTAATGTAATCTAATGTTTTCAGTCAATTAATTGTAAAATGTAGTTATTTTGAAAGTGCAGTTTGAGAAGAGTATTTAACACTATGTTTGTTAAAATTAGTCAAAGTATGATCCCTGAACATCTATGCATCTGTGTCATCAATGAACAAGATCATTTATGCCTCATCGATAAAAATCCACTGGCTTTGATGCTAAAAAATCTTTGAATCCAACTTTTACCTCAGTTTTGTTATTGAAAGTTTTGTTGCTTAAAAAAGTGTCTAGATGCTTGAAAAAATGGTAGTCAGTGGCTGAAAAAAATGGTAGTTGGATTGGGAGAATATGGAAGATGTGGTAAAATTTCGTATCTCAAGTCATTGAGTTTCAAGTGCAGGCATCTATTAAATCAAGTGCCTCAGACATTTCTCTGACACTCTGATGTGGGTTTTATTCAGCAATTGCTTTCATAAGTTTATTGTCAAAAGTGCATGGCTGCCCTCTACCTTCTTTATGTTCAAGGCTCTCACTGCCAGTATGGAATTTCTGAGACCATCTTTTTACTGTCTGATCACTTGTGGACCCTTCTCCCCATGCTCTGTTGATATTAGTGGCTGTTTGGGAAGCATTATGACCGAGTTTGAATTCATGCAAGAAAAGTAAATACATTTCTTCTTTTTTCATCTTCGTTATTAAGGGTTTATATGCTTCAAAATTGCAGTTTGATAGAAATTATAGTAGAATTATTAAAGAGTACATATTAATTT